CAGTAACCGGCTCGTGGCAGCAGTGACTGCAGTGGCAGCAGCAGTGACATTGGTGACATGGGTGACATCAGTGCCATCAGTGCCAGCAGTAACCAGCTGGTGGCAGCAGAGGGAGACGCAGTCCCGGGCTGGGGCTGTGGCTCCGCTCCCCGCTCAGCCCCGCTCCCGCAGCGCTCTGCAGTGCCAAGGTGCACCTGGATTTTCAGGAGTGAACTGCCTCTGTCTCTAGTGCCAAGCAGCACGGACGTGGAGCTTGTAGCAGGTAGCGAAACACGACGTTAACATTATTATGTACAGTTTTGAAATTCCCATCTCGGTGGGAGGCAAATTCTGAGGCAGAGGAGGTTTCCAGCGTGCTGTTTCCAGGAGAGAAAAAGAGAAAAATAAAAAAAGAAAAGAAGAAGAAGAAAAAAGAAGAAAATGAAAGGGAAAAGGAGAAAAGTACTAGCAGGAATCCCATAGCTGCTGATTAAGGACTGCAACACTGCTGAGAAATCACAGCCTTGTATGGCTGGCTTTGGACTCAGGCAGGAACAAGGTGCTTGGTACTTTCTGCCTACTCCCCTGTGCCCTAGAAAGAGTTTTGTAGGCACTCCAAAATTCCAGCCAGCAGGTGTGTGCTGCTGCAGGCTGGGCTACCCCTTGTCTTTGGAGCTTGCTGCTGGTGTGAGGTGAAGCTGGAACCATCATCAGCCCACGTGAAATCCCAGATAAATGTGAGGCTCTCCACAGTAATGGGGAATATTACTTTAAATGGCTCAATAACACTACAGCTTTTCTATCTCCTACACCATAATATATAAACTCTTTTATGGGTCTAGATGGAATTTCTTCAACATTTCCTCAAATTGCATTGTTTTAAGGTACCTTTGCATTTTTATTGGCAACCCCGTTGTAATAGATGGAATCCATATAGCATTGATGCTGCTTTCTAGGACATGCCTGGTAGCTGTGAAATATAAACCAATAAGGTCTTGGGCTATAGCTTAATCTTATCAGCAGAATTCAGGTAGTGTGGGACTGAAATTGTGCTACTAACAAGTGTTTCCAGCCATCACTGCCGTGATGAAATGGGATGGAAAAAATCAGGAAATAGAGCTGTGTCTGGATCCACACAGCTCCTGAATGCAGCAGCACAGAGAAAGGAGCTGGCTGTGCCTGGCAGCAGCCTTGTGATGAAAATAAACAGTTCTGTGCTCCTCATACGCTGCAGCCCCAACCCCACCTCAGTGAGTCTCCCAGGGCAGGAGACATAAATCCTCTTCAACTACAGAGACAAACCGCAAGTGATTGCAAGAAAATGTGGATAGTTTACTGATATTTTTAGGAACTCCTCTCCTTCTAGGTTAAGAATGAAGTGAGGGCTGTCAGTGCCTTGGGGATTGCTGTGGGTATAAGCCAGCACCTCAATTTATTTCAGTTCCTCTAGGAGCAGAGATACATCATTGTAGCTGCTGGGATCTTGAGCTGGATGTGCAAAATCCACCCTAAAGGCTTGCCAATGTAATCTCTTAATGCCACCATCTCTCCTGCCTAATGTTGTACCCCATGGTGTTGTGTTATTATTAGGCAGCTTATACAGTGTAGGTTAGCCTGGAAAAACCTCTGTTTCTTAGCAATTTATAGCCCCCAATTATTGGGTTCTTAAGGTCACACAAGCCTGTGTGCATAAGATAGCTCTTTGGAGAGCAGGAGGTGACTGCTTGGAAATTACTGCATTTAGCTCAGAAGTTTGGCTCAGAAAGAACAGCAGAGAGATGTTTAAAGGAGCCAGTACTTGAAACAGGACAGCTGAAAAAAATTGAGATATATGAAGTCCCTTTGCTTCCTCTGATCTTTTGAGGGCTGAGTTATGTTCACTCCACTTGTCTGGCTCTAAACAGCTGCCTTAATAGTCATACCCATGGCCAGATATCCATGCTAAGGGAAGACAAATCTGATGGTTTTCAGTACCTAAAGGGTTTTGCCTTCTTGCCTGACATTGGTGCATCTTTGACCCTTGCATCCCAGTCCCATAGAGCCAGGCTGCAGCAGTCCTTCAGTCCCAAAGCCAGCAAGGAGGGAGGCAATGCACACATGTGCAAAAGTGGTGTCTCAGAAATTGACTCCATACCTCTTGTCCAAGTCTTTTTGTGCTGCATTGCTGCTAAGCCAACATCCCTGCTGTCCAGATGTATGTGCCATAGCTCTGCTCCTCTCCTCCTCTGCTCCTCACGTGGTCCTGGAGCTCTGAGATGAGGTCAGCAGTGTCACTGGGGCACTTGTACATCCCTTGCATCATTATTTGTTCCCAAGGACTGTTCTCTAACTGGTTAATTAGTCCCTTCAGTAATGAACCATATACCATTTGTTCTCTTTCAGTTGATATTTACCCTGTGGGAATCAGGGGCTCCTGAGAGCTGTCACACATCAGAGTGTTGTGGGGACCCTGGGGAGAGGAATCACGTGTGGGCTTTGGTAATGTCCCAGGCAAGCAGGGCAATAAGCCAGTCCCAAATGCCTGCTTTTAAACACTGAGGGAGAGAGACTGGAGCTGGTCTATGGTTGTGCTTTTTATCTGGTGCTCCTCTCCCTCTCTCCAGTGATGCCAGGACCTGTGCATGTCCCTCCCCTCAGCTGGCACGCTTGCAGGCTGCCAGGCAAAGCACAGCAAGAGTTGTTTGCCAGAACATGTCCAGCCAGAGACAGCAGGAGGATGGAGAGGTGACATCCAGGGCCCCACAACCACAAGCAATGCCTCCCTGTGCAGTGGGGGAGGCTGGGCTGCAGCACCTGTGTGGCACTTGTGATGATGGGCTGCTCTCAACAGCCTGAATTTCCCAGGCAGGTATTTCTGGGATGAGAAGACCTTGAATTTTTGATGGCTTGCCAGAAATTAATAACAAACTAACCCCTATTAAACTGCTCCTTTGATATTTTTATTGCTTGACACTCAGAAGTTTGCTGTGGCCTCAGTCCTTGGTTTTTCCTCTAACCCATACATTGAAGCAAGTGAAGCACCCACTGACCTCGGTGTGAGGGTGGATGCAGGGGCTCCTTCACTGGCTAAAAGAACAATATAAAGGTATTTTTTCTGCTCAGGTGCTGCATAGTGCTCTCAACTTGTACCATTACATACTTAAAGAAATGCTGGTTCTTGCAGACTGATGGATTTGAACATGCCAGGATCGCTAAACACTGTTTAGGATTTTTAAATGTCTAATTTGTAGCGATGGAGTCTAAATTGAGAATTAAAACCATGCACATCAGTCCCAAGGGAGTTTCCCTCTTCCCTCCCACTCCATCTGGAATGAAGAGGAGTTGGAATTATACATGAATTAATGAATAAGTAATAGAGAATCACACAAATAAATTACAGATGCAAGGAGATTCTTTTTTAAATCATCCACAAGTTAATATTTATTTATGTAACTTGCAGAATTCCAGCCAATGGCTGCATAAATATTAATTAATAATTAAATTTTAATAGCAAAGCAAAACCCCAGTATTTCCTAAATGTATGTCTTAAAGCCATCATTATTTGTTTGGAAAATTAGGTTTGTTTGTGGCTTTGGTCAAGCAGTGACAAGAATGCAATTTTAGAGCAGGGGACATCCTGGATCAATCATGCTTTTTACTTTGATTGCAATTGCCCAAAGAGAGGGTGAATTAATTATTTTTTTTACATCCCATGAGGATAAATAACAAATTTAAAAAGAGCCCTCAGCAAAACAGGGGCATTTCTGTGCTCCCAGTTGTGCATCCCTGCTTCATATTTGATGCATTTTCAATACAAAGAGGAGGAAGAGGAGGAAGAGGAGGAGGAGGATAGCTTCTCAGCAATCAGCCTGCAGTGGCTGTCCCCATTTAGAGCAGCTGACTATCTTTTGGCACATCTTTGTGGCACTTTTCCATGTATGTGTCTCCTGGCAGCCCAAAGACTCCCCTGCAATTGCTGCTTCTGCAGGTTACTGTGAATTATTTTGCACTGACGTCCCTGGGTATTGCTTTTTGATGCACATTGCTAAACCCACTCAGCAAGGAGATTTTCAGGGATGAGGTTTCCTCCTTGCAAAAACAGGGGGGCTGAAAATCTGGTGAGTCCTGGCAGTGCCATGGCTCAGATCTGAGGCTCCCCTGTGTTTTCTCACACCGCTTCACTGGCTGCTCCTCTGCTGTTTCCTCTGTGTGTTGTCCTGCTGCTCTGGGGAGCAGTGAGGGTTTCTCAATGCCATGGTTAAACCAGGCTCTCTTGCCTATGATCCAGGCTGGCTGAACCCTCCCTGGTTCCCAGGTGGCTCTTGTTGATGGCTTGCCATGATTTGGGGCTGCTGGGCTGCGAGTCCCTCGGGCTCAGGAGTGGGGAGCAGATGAAGCAGCTCTGGCTGCCACAGACCTGAGACTAAAGAGCATGGCTGGTGGTACAGCTGGGAAAGGGAGATTTTGCTGAGCTGTGGCTTCAGCAGCACAGAGCCACAGCGGTGGTGTAACATCAGGTGAAAATGCCACACGGGCTGCAAACATCTAAGGGGAAAATTGCCCAAAGACACTGAATGCACATCTGGGTACAAGGTGGTTTATAGGTATCTATGGATTTTTAAAGGGAAAGGAAAATATTCCAGCCAAAATGGGACCACTGCTGTGTAATCCCATGCAAAGGACTGTTTTAGTGCCTGTGGTGCATCCTTGCTCTGGGAGAGGCAGGGAGATGCAGTTGCCCTGTGGTTTGGGTTTGGATTTGCGCTTTGCAACTTCTTTTAAGACAGTAATTATGGACTTAAGCTAGTGAGACAAACCCTGAGTAAAGCACACCAGTCCATTTCATCTTGGTGGGGAGTCAGGGTCTGCCTCCCAGAACTGTCCCACCATGATTCACCAGGCCCATGGTCTGCTGTAGGTAAGGTGCTGGAAGGCAAAGAACTGAGACCCAGTGCTCCCTGGGACACACCTGGGAAAACTTTTGAAAGCTCAGGGCTTTAATAAGGATGGAGAGCAGATAAAACATTTATTGCAGTGCTTTTTAATTTGGCCTCATTTAATTACAGGGACACTACTGGTTAAAGAATTTATTAAGCAATTTTCTTACCCACTTTGAGATTGATGGAGCATAAAAAGACATGAGTGGATTAAACCCAGCCAGGTTTCACCCAGCTTTCTGAAATTAGTAATCTCTAAGGTCTGAAAAGACAAGTACATGACTCAGGGTTCTATGCAACAGCCTCAGTGAACTCTCCTGGATCCTGTGTTTTCTTTGGTTCAATAATAGTGGATGGCCACTGAGCATATCCATTTTAAGCAAAAGGAAGAAACAAAAACAGGAAATAAATTAAGCTGGTTACAAGCACAATAAAACAAAGTGCACAAATTTAAATGTAAAACACTGAAAATGTACCAGAAGTAATAAAGACTAACCAGTGATAGGAGTCCGAACTGAATCCCTAGCTAATTCTGTACTGCAAAGATATAAAAGAAAATCAATATTAAAAAAATGGGACCTTTATCAAGGAACCTGTTAAATGGTGTATGCAACAATATAGAAGAAATTACTTGGGAGCTAGAAGTGCAGCAAAGAAACGTGTAAATAATCGACATTTAAAGAATTAACATAAAATGATTCCAAGGTAGTGAGGGAAGTAGTCAAGCACTCTTCTAATGCTCATGTAAAACCAGGCAGCTTTTGCAGTGCACCCTCAGCCTTGAATGCATCAATTTAACCATTAGCCTCATGTCCCAGCTCTCTACAGGCAATATAAGCAATCACTAATGCATGGAACAGCCTGTTTAGATCAGGGTTTTTGTTCTTGTTTTGTCTTGTCCTTGACCTCACTATTAGGTAATGAAATGACAGGCCAACAAGGGGCTTGCTCTATCTCTGTTCCTCCTGATACCATGGGCAAAATTCCTGATGGACAGAGAATTAAATCATCATCCCCTGAGCAAGCCATTGCTCCTTTGGAAAATGGATTTCTCTGTCAGTGGTTGACATTAACAAATACAAGATGTTGTGGCGTTGCCATGCATCCTTCATTGATCAAATGTTTATTTCAGTATGGTGCTCCCCTTTAATGGGATGTTGCAGATGTTCCTTAAACAAATACTCATTATTTAAGCAACAAAAAGCCTGTCCTTAATTTCTTCTCAGTTAACTCTTCCTTCTACAGCTACTGCAGGTAAAAGTCAGGAGACGATACCAATGCTGGTGTGCAAAATTCAAAATATTTTGGTGTCTTGTGTTGGATTTTGGGCTCCCTGGGCAGTTTTGGGCTGGTACAGCTCAACAAGGACCTTTGAACAGACAAGAAGTGAATGTGCTCTCATGTAACAAAACACTGATGGTCAAGCTGATGCCTGTGCAGCCAGGCCAGCTGGGAGCTGGTGCTCACAGACCAAACCCTCAGTCCTTCAGGCAGTGGGATAAGGCTCTCTCTTTACTGTGTGACTCCCAGCAAGGCTCAGAGCAATGACAGCACTGCCAGATTCTGCTGTCTCCTCTCCTGCATGCACAAGGAGTAGTTGGCTCTGGCTGACACAGGCAGCCCAGGGAACACAGCATGGGAACATCTTTTAGTTGCTTTGATCTGTGTGAAAGACATTTTGTTCCTTGCTCAGATGAAGATTCCCAAGTGGCTGAGGCTTAACATCCATGAGATCTTCTCTCTCTTTAATAAAAATATCCACATACACCTAGCTCCTGTCCCACAGCTGCTGAGCTGGTGTTGTGCTGTGCAGGTGTGCAGGCAGCACAACATCTGAGCACGGGGCATAGCCCAGAGTCAGCTCCTGACATTTGGGGTCCAGGCTGTTTGTAAACTCTGGCATGCCTCTTTTACACAGGCTTCACACTCCCAGAGCTGTGTTCAGAATCAGTGGGGTATCCCTAGCCAGGAGATGGGGGGTTTATTACAGCTCTGTGGAACAAGGCTGAAAGCTGATTGACCTGAACCCAGCACCCAGTCATGCCTGAGCCAGATTCCCTCTCTCACATGGGTTTTGTGGCTTCTCCATGAGCTCAGACTTCAGTTTTTGCATTTGGAACACATCACCTCCTTGCCTTTGCTTGTCCTTGTATTTTCCATGACACTTGCAGGAGCTTGCATTTTTTTTTTGAGATCTTACAGCTCTATGAAATGAAAACTTGGCTCCTGGGTTTAGAGGCAACCAGGAGACCTGTATTCAGTGGTAGGATTGGAGATGCCTTGCCTCTGTGAGAAACCAGGCTACAGAGGAAGTCAGGAGCACAGTGATCCCTGGAGGAGTCAGGAAAAGTCCCACAGTTTGCTTTTGTGTGGAAGAGAGTTAAAATCTGAACATGCCTGGAGCCTGGATGTGTGCCCTGCTGTAAGCTGGGGCTGCACTGGAGGGAGCAAAGCCCAGACACAGCCCTGGTGTGAGGAGTGGGGCTGGAAAATCCCAAACCATGAGCGCTCTACTCCATTTTCCATTTCTTAGAACTCAGATAACATATTCAAAGAGGGTCATACCAATATTTTTGTCTGCTTCCATTTCCTTTCCCTTCCCTTCCCCCTCCCAATCTACAATTATGATACATATTCAGGGTATTTTTTTCTCAGGCATGAGATTTTTATCCCCTTTTTTTTCCTTTTTGGAAGAACAGTTGTTCCAATGATATTTTAAAACAAGATGGATTTATCCATGAATTCACTTTTACTCCATTTTATTTGAAGTTTTGTGAGTGCTAGTTCTCTGTCTCATAGTATAGCTAACTTGGGGCTGGGATGTGTTAATTATTCAATGATTTAAATGAAATATCAAAGGAGTTTTTATTGATTTGCATATAAAAGTTATGAAACCAAATATATGGCACAACAGACAAATTAGTAGGCCATAAAAAGCATGAGTGAATTACTGTTTTATTAAAGCTTTAAGATAACATGCTGTAGTATCTGAAAAGAAAGGTCAAAAGAAAAAAAAAAAAAGGAAAATTTAAATGTGTGCACATTAATGGACTGGGGAATGTGGCTTTACTAATAACTTCTGTGCATAAAAATTTATATTTTTCAACAGAGCAATCATTTCTTTCACCCTGTTGGGTATTTTAAATGTGCTCCTGTGTATATAATATTAATTTAGTCATAAAATAAAAGGCAGTAATTCAGACAGTAGCCCATGTGAGCTATTAAATTCAAAGTACCGTGTGAAGTATTTGTGGTTATGGTTCCTTGCAGTTCTGTATGAGACACAAACAAACCACTCCTGACAAGATGAAAAGGTTTGCTTTCAACATACCTGTGCTCAGTTTGGGTTCCTGTGCCTCCTTATTGAGACCTGACACCATCTCTGATTAGATAGTCTGGGTATAAATTATAAGAATGTTCCTTGAGAAAAAAAAAAAATAAAAGCACAAAAAGAGGATTTATGCAATAGATAAGCTTTTAAAAGAGGATTGTACAATCTGTGGGTCTATCTAAACTAGCCAATGTTACAGTTCACTTCTTTTTATGCCAGACCATTGAGCTTTGCTGCCTTAGGAGGTGAAAATATGTTTTCACTTGTCCTGCTCATTCCCTAATGTGGGGCTGAAAGTTAACAACAGCAAATGGGCTTGACTGTGAGGCTGGTGAGCTGTGTAAAGCATTTCCACGTTGTCTCTCTCTGAAAAGCTTGAAGCAAATATTCCATCCACTGCAGAAGCAAATTAATACATGACAATTAATCAAAATTCTTCTCACTTGCCTTCCCTGTGCATGTGCTCTTGCATTAAGCCTTGGAGTGCCTGGTTGCTCTCCTGTTAAATGTGTCTGTGCTAAGACCCGACACAAGCACTTCTCAGCAAGAGGAAATTAAGCCCAGACCTGGGGTGAATCCTTCAGAGACTTGGCTCAGTGTCTGCAGCTCAGCTCATGTGTCAGTGTCCAGCCCTCACTGCTACTGGTGCAAACACTCAGAGACTCCTGGTAAAACCATCTCTGTGGATTCTCTCTTTATTAGGATATATCACCATGCAGCATTTCAAAGCCATCTCTCACCTTTTTAATATGAGTGTCTTGGAGAGAGATTTCATCCTTGCCTCCCTTCCACCCTGCCCTCCCACCTCTCTTTAGAGAGAACCCAAATCAGCTGTTGGGAATAGCCCCTGATTTGGTGGAGTCTGCAAGGAGAACAGGATTTCCATGGATGCTGCTTCCTGCAACACACACAGCTCAGAGGCTGCACAGCACAGGGCCCTCTAAAGCCACGTCTAGACAAAGTGCAGTGGTGTGGGGCAGAGAGTGAGCACTGCCATAGCACCAGTTGCTTACACAGCATCTCAGGTCCCCCAAAATAACTGTGGCATAAATCAAAGACAGCCAGTAAAGCAATAATAATTACTTCTTTCCTCCAGCACTTCCCCTTGCCATCTAAGGGTGGTTTAAATGCAGCTGGTGAGTTCAGTGCAGGCTTTGCATGTTTGATTCCTAGTCAAGGCACATCTGTGCAAAGAGGTTGGTGGCACCTGTTGGCTTCCTGCCCCTCTCTCTGCTGGCTGTAGGGGATGAGTGGGCTCCTGCAGGTGCCACAACAGGATGGATAATGGGTGACCTTTCTGGTAGCCTCAGAAAAAGCCCAGCCATGTGTCCCAGTCTTCCACAGCTGTAGCCTGGGCTGGTGGCTTGGCCCAGGCTCCCTGTGGTGGTGCCAGCCCAGCTCGAGCTCCTCAGCAGAGCCCCAGACTTACCCTGGGAGCCTCTGCTCTCGCTGTCTGGGGGCCTTGGGGTCCCTTGGACCAGCCTGTATGTGACATCACAGCTGTCATCAGTGTCCCCTGCACCTCACTGCCACCCTCCAGGATAACAAATGGTCTTGCAGGGTGTGAGAGATGCTTCCAGCCAAACCCACCCCTCCTGTAAATCAGACAGTGGAAGGATGGATATCCATGACAGAACACTGGGATTCCTCAACCAGCCTCAACCAACCTGGGATTCCAGGACTGTTTGTCCTGAGGTTACCATCCTGTAGAGAACCATGGGAGAGCCATCACCAGCATGCTGTAGGTGGTCTGAGGGCAGTTGTTTTAGGTATTTGTTGGCTTCAGAGAGGAAGAGATCACAGCTCAGCAGAGGAAATAGCTGCAGGCCACCCCCACACCTCAAATGAAGGGTTAACTTGCCGCCAGGAGAGAGGAGATGTGTGTGGGCAGGCACAGCATCCCCACATCTGTGAGAAAGGGAGAAGCAGGTCAGGGCAGACAAAGGCACCGAGGGATCCGTGTGCCGGATCAGCCGTGCGGGGAGCGGGTCTGAGTCCTGCGAGGTGAAATGCAGAGCGCTGGGGAGAGAATTCATCAGCCCCAGCCTGGCAGAGGGGTGACTTCAGGCCTGGCAGCTGGAAAGGCAGGTAGCTGGTGAGAGGCAGGCTCCACCTGCACAAATAGCCAGAAAAGATTGCAAAGCCACGGGGAGCCCTTTAATTATGTGCTTGCTGCATCAATTAGTAAAGACAATGGCATTGGGCTGTCGAGTTTAATTGGCAGAGCCAGGGAGGAGGGCATCTGACATGGGCACCCCCAGCCTCTCTGGGGACAGGGCAGACCCAAATGACCCTGAAATCCCAGGAAGCGAGCCACAGCACAGCTTCTGCTTTCCCACTGCTGCCTCACTGCCCTGAGCACAGCTCCTGCCCTGGGAGCAGGTGAACTCCTGCAGACCTTGGCCATGAGCTCGGGAAAGGCTCACCTGAAGCTGGTGAGCATGCACAGAGTGAAATATGGGATTTAGAAACCAAGACTGCAGAAGGGAAAGGTCAGTCTTTTAAACAAAAGGCACTTCCCTTTCCTCAGCAATGTTAATGCAAGTGCAGGTTGTTGTATCACTGATTTATTTGTTTTCTTTGCCTTTTTGGAAGACTTGGGGTGTTCCAGGACTCAGATAACGATGTACTTCCCCCGACCTCTCAACCTGACCTTTATTTCCCCAGCTGTTCAAGTGCTAACCACCACTGGTGGTCCCAAAGGTTGTGTCTGGTTGTGATGGCTGCATCTGGCTCAAGGTGGATTTCGGGGAGACAGATAAGAACACAATAACCAAGGACCATTTTGAGCAATACATCCACCTAATTACAGTGCTGGTCTAGGTCCAACTCAAGCCAAACTTGGAAGAAATTAACACCTGTAGTCTGTATGCAAATATGACTAGGACTCCATTATCTTTCTCCACAAATAGTGACAGCCCAGGGCCTGTTGAGCTCTCCTGAACAGGAGCAGTGTGTGCCAGGACTTCCCTTGAGTAGCATTTTTCAAGGTGCCTTCTTGAGGTTAAGAGGTTCCCTATCACATCAGGTACTCAGTAAATGAATTGTGAATATATGCACTGGAAGTTGGAAACCTTAACTGATACAAAGAATTGGTTGTGCTTATATAATGCTTTAGACATAAATTGTTGATGAAGTGTGGATCCAGCTACACACAAAGTCTCCTTTGAGAAGCTGTTTGTAACATAAGGGGGTCCTTTCTGAACCTCATGATGTGATGGGAGTACATCACAGCTTTGTCTGACCCTGTCCTCTACATAGTAAATGCTCAACTGTACCTTGCCATTGAATTTTGTTAAACCCCTGTTGGATTTACCATTGAAGTTTATTTACTCGCTGTTTTATATCAATAAAATATATTTTTGTTTCTCTCCTGAGAGTAAAGTGCATGATTCCACCCAAAACAAAAAGGAAGCATCTTTCTCTGTGGAGGATGCAGCCTCTGGGGTTTGTCAGTGCTCAGCAAAGTGAAGATGAGTCAGGTGTGAAACAGGTGCACATCACTTCAGGCATGTTATGTTCCCGTGGAGATGTTCTCAGCCAGGCTCCAAGTGACATATTTGCCATTTCTCTTCCTTCTCAGGATTAAAGTAATTCCTGCTGCGGATCTGTCATGATCCCTCTTGCTGCTCCCAGAGCCATTGCCTTAAGTGGCAGGAAGAAGGTCTGGTTGCTTTAGGCATGTCTGAGCCCATCCCTAAAGAATCTGTCCACTCATTATCTCATCTGAGAGTGGGCCTTTGGCAGCAATAACAGTTTGTCTTGGTTCTGTGACTTCATTTTGTGTACATTATGTTTGATAGTACCAGAGCAAAAAAGTGTAAAATGCATCTTTTCCCACCTGAGAAGCTCTAGTCATCCATTTCATGTAGATTTAAAATGATGGCTTGCAATCAGCACAGTGAAGAATGCTCTGAAAACCCATCACCCCAATAAGTGGGTCTCTAAGTAAGAGAATGAAAATAAAAGTGTACTTTCTAAGTGCTGAGACATCTCAGGAGAGGAAACAGTAGGAGTGGTGGATGGAAGCCAGCTCATTTCAACAAGAGTGGAGTGAGGTTGGTGGCTGGATGGTGCTCTGAAAAATCCCAGAAGGTGGGAGTATCAACATACCTCCTTGGAGCAGCAGGAACCAGAGTTTCTCCAGTATAGACACCCCTGCAGAATAGAGAAAAGAGCAGTTTTGCTGAGGGATGCTGGATTTATGGCTGCAGAAAGGGATGTTGATTTTCTTGGGGCTGGGTGGTGATGCTCAATTCATGCTCATTCTGTGTGCACCAGCACAGCAGCACCTGGCTGGGGCTGACTTCTCAACATGTCCATGCACAAAAAAGAATGACACTGCTCTGCAGGGTGCCATGGATGAAATGTCCATTTCCTGTCCCTCTCCTAGGTACTGAGCTTGCTGTTTTGTGCAAAGCAAAATTTAAAAGCGCCAAAATTTGCCAGTGCTTGCATAAACTTCCCAGCTCTGCTTGGAGCCAACTGATCCAATCCAGTGTGTTGTGTGGCTTTTTTTGGGGGGTGCTCAGCTCCTGGGGTGACAAGTGTTCTCTCTGGGGTTGTCTGGAGATGGTGGGGAGGGCTGTGGTAGGCTGGGAGCAGCAGAGGTGCCTGCCACACCACTTGCAGCTCTTGGGTAACCACATCACACAGCCCCATCTCACATCTGCATAATCCATCACTTTTAAAGATGTTTCCTTATATGGGTTAATATAAAATGTTGCTCATTGTGTCAGCCAGCAGGAGGTTTCATAGGTCCTTTAGGCAACTTAAACAGTGATTAATCAAAAAAAAGCCTCCACCTTCTTCGTGCTGTTAATGCTGTTGTTAGGTTGCAGGCAGCATAATTTATGGCATTTTCTGATCCTGTTAGCTAGGATGTCTGATTAATTTTGGCTCTGGGATTAAGTCAGCAAAAGAAATTTGACTTCCACAAGCAAGTGATATATATCATCCACCCGAGTGCAGGAGGGACACAACACTATCTTTCTGCCAGCATTTTTATGTGTCCTCAACTACAGCCAGGAGGTGGCATTATGTACTCATATTATTACTGCTGCTGGCTGGGGACTAAATAGATTTTAGAGCCCAGGACATGTCAGCTTCTTGATCTTGACACAGAAGGGAAAGCACTACCATGAGATGCTGCCCCTGCTCCCCAACATGGACCACAGTGTGCAAACTGAAATGTTTCTCATCCTTTTTCCTTCTGGATAATTCAGAAAATGACATATCAATTACTTATTTATTAGCCAGAATTTTTCTTTTCACACATTTTTCATTCTTGTATTCAGGTGGCTTTTTGATGCTTGTTTCATTTTGTCTTACTGCCTATATCTTGTCTGTGCTTCTTGGGGCTAGAGGGCAAAGTTGGGGGATAATACAAAATATTCAAAACTATTCAGTTTATCCCTGCTTTTCTTTCATATAGAGAGAAATATATTTTTTTTTTCCTTATTATGAAACCCTTTATCAAGAAGACATAAGATCCTTTAGTAGCTCTGGGAGTTTGTCAGCTGATGAAACAATCTTGTCTAGGTGTGTTTCTATGGGGTTATTTAAGTCACCCTCAAGTACAGATATAACAGGAGTGCCTTCATCTGGGAGCATTTGGTCTTGGTAGGTGGGATCCTTGCTCTGGAAGGCCTGGCAGAGCCATGCTGCTCTCCCTGGGTACAAACAAGGTATGGCAATTAAAAACACCACCCTCCTTCCTCTTTCCATGCCAGTCACCTTCATTACTCCATTCTGGGTAGCAATGTGCAGTTCACAGACTAAATATCTCTTCTTGACTTCTGCAGGATGAAACAAAAGGGGGAAAGTCAGACAAACCTCAGGTTGCTGCAAGGGATTCAGTGTTTTGATGAAAAATTCAAGAAGAAATCTTTGCCCCATGCTGGCCCTGCAGACCCTAAGGAAAGGCAATTCCACATCACAGTGTGAGTGTGACTGCAGCCTGGAAAAAAGCAGCAGAGATCTGGGTCTGGAAATGTCAGGAGGTCACTATTGAGAGGTGACTACAACCCAAAGATGCTGCAGTTTATATTCTTGCTCCATTAACTCTGACAACAGACTTGAGAGACCAGAGTTTTCTCAACCTGGTTTATAAATCATGCTGCTAAAAATGCACTGGGTTTTATTTGTGCATAGCTGGGAGCTCTGCAAGTAAAATGAGCCCTTAGAATGAGAATTGAGGTGAGTGTGAAGCAGATGCTTGGCACCTATGTGAGGCTGCTCAAGTTTTGGGCTGGGCTTGTGGAAGCCCAAGATTGGGTATTGCACACCTTGAACTTCAGATATTCATCTTTTCCCCAGCCAGCTGAGAGGTCAGAGCTGCTGGGATGAGACCAGCCTGGAAGCTGCTACAGGCATATCAGTGCTGGATCATCCACTTTGCTTCCCAGCAACCAATGATGTGCA